GAGAACATTAACTTGTTAGTTGACTGTCTACCCATGGATTTATTTGTATCCAAACGATTCAGTTTTGCTGGTCAACAAAATCCACAGGGTCAGTAAAAAATGTGAACTTAGACACAACAAATGTAAGTGTTCATGCATCTAGTTGCATTTTATCATCTGACACAATCTTGTTGCATAGGTATAAATTTTGTTCTGAATTTAACTACAGCCCCATTTTAAAAAAAGAAGCAAAAAATGGAATGTTTTATAAAAAAAATACCCCAAAAAACCCTAATTCAACAATTTGCAGATTATTTTTTGAATTTTATGGCAGCAACACATTCACAATAGTTGGAACATGGCCGTGTTTAGCACTGTGAATCAACTCTTCCTCTATTAACACTTTGTAAACACTTAGATCTGAGGACAACAGCTGCATGAGGTTATGGAGGAAAATGTTTTTCCATTCTTGTCTGATGTAGGATTCTAGCTGTTCTAGAGTCCTGGGTTTACTTTCTTGGATATTGTGTTTTATAATGTATTAAATATTTACATCTTATTACAGGTCTGTAAGATAAGCAGGTCTGTTCAGCGCCTGTACTTTTCTACTACAAAGCCATGCAGTTGTTATATTGTTTTACTGAAACATGCAGGACCTTCCATGAAAAAGACATCGTTAGAATTGGAGCTTATGTTCTAAAATTTTTATCTGCATTGATGGTGCCTTTTCAGCTGTGTAAGCTACTCACATCAGAGGCAGTAATGTACACCCATACCATAAGTATGGTCTTTCATCTGTGTGTTGATAACAGGATGGACGGTCCTTCTTTTTCCTAGTACAGAGAACCTGAGGTATATAGTTTCCTTTTGTTTATTTTTTATTTTCAATTTTTCTGACCACAGAAAAGTTTTCCAATTTACTTCAGTCCATTTAAAATTAGCTTTACAGTAGTCCCTTGTTAACTACTGTTTTGTTTTTCTTGGATTCACTCTATCGCAGTTTTTCAAAGTAAGATTAGACATGAAACACAACTGGCTGATTGATGGATCAGGCACACGATTGGCATGGAATTATGATTTAAAATAACTTATTTAAAATTATTTAGCAGCTGCTGAACTTTAAGCAACCCATGCTGCAGGAGAAGCTTCTTCCTGCAGCTGATCAGCTGATCTCCATGCCGAGCGGAGACGTAGACGTGGCCAAGAGTGTTTGTAAGTGGCACAGAGCAGCCGAGGCAGGGAGCTGAAATCATGACATTCTGTACTCTTTTAGAGCGTTTAGAGTTTTGAAGCATTGTTTAGAATATTGCAAAAGTGTGAGAAGTGTTTAAAAACCACACACACACACACATATATATATATATAGTTAATTTCAATTCAGTTTATTTATATAACAATATAACACCAAGCGGCTGGGATGAGAATCAGCACCTCCAAATCTGAGGCCATGGTCCTGAACTGGAAAAGGGGTATTGCTCTCTTCAGGTCGAGGGTGAGGTTTTGCCTCAAGTGGAGGAGTTCAAGTATCTTGGGGTTTTGTTCACGAGTGAGGGAAGAATGGAGCGTGAGACTGACAGATGGATTGGTGCAGTATCTGAAGTATTGCGGACTCTGTACCAGTCAGTTGTGGTGAAGAGAAAGCTGAGCTGTAAGGCGAAGCTCTGTTTACCGGTCAGTCTACATTCCTACCCTCACCTATGGTCACGAGCTCTGGGTAGTGACTGACAGAATGAGATTGCGGATACAGGTGGTTGAAATGAGTTTTCTCCGCAGGGTAGCTGGACTCTCCCTTAGAGACAGGGTGAGAAGTTCAGTTATTTGGGAGAGACTCAGAGTTGAACCGCTACTCCTCCACGTCGACAGGAGCCAGTTGAGGTGGTTCACGCATCTGGTAAGGATGCCCCCTGGGCGGCCTCCCTAGAGAAGTGCTTCGGGCATGTCCAACTGGGAGGAGACCCCGGGAAAGACCCAGGACACGCTGAAGAGACTATGTCTCTCGGTTGGCCTGGGAACGTCTTGGAATCCTCTCAGAAGATCTGGAAGAGGTGGCTGTGGAAAGAGATGTCTGGGCCTCCCTGCTCAAGCTGCTGCCCCCACGACTCGACTTCGGAATAAGTGGAAGATAATGGATGGATGGATATATAACACCAAGTCACAACAGAAGTTGTCTCAGGTCACTGTAAAAAAGCATTCACATACAGTTGTCCCTCATTCATCATGGGGTTTAGGGGTCCACGCCCACCTTGATAAGTGAAAAACTCTGAAGTAGGGATACAGTAGTCAGATTTCAAGTTGTACTCTCATTCTCCTTCCTGTGTAAATAAACAATTTGAATTTAAATATTGTAACATTTTAAATAAACAATCCAAGCAGCATGGATTGTTATAAAATGTTATAGTATTTAAATTTAAATTGTAGAGAAGAGAAATGCAGCAGGACATCAAAGGGTTAACCCTTCACGCAGCTGTAGCACAGCACAGACATGTACTTGATTTACTACACTGTAACAACTGAACATAGAAGTTCTAAAATAATAAAAAATAACTTTTAACACTTTTGTATTTTGTTATTATAACGATTTTGCGTTGTGACATACTTTGAATTTTAATTTGGAAGCCAAAAGGGGATCCGTGCAGCTGGACAGCAAAGGGTTAACCCTTCACGAAACTGCTGCAGTAGGAGGAGACATGTGTGGGTGGCAGAGAGTCATAGGTGGCAGAGAGCGGAGGAAGCTTCTCCCTGCACCTGTGGGCTGCACACAGGTGCTAAATCATTTTAAATATATATTTTTAAATAAACAATCCATGCTGCTGGTGTGGCTCATCCATCAATTAGCCAGTTGTGTGTCATGTCCAGTCTCATTTTGAAAAAAAACACGAAGCATTGAGTTTGCAAAAGTCGATCCGCGAAGTAGCGAGGGACTACTGTACATTAAAAAAGCCAATTAATAAAAGTTATCTATCCAAGGAAGCCAGTGGATTGCGTTGAATCTTTGCTTAGTCACAATCTCTCATTCTGAGTAAACACAGTGGCAACAGTGGAAAGGAAACACTCCATTTTAACAGGAAGAAACCTCCAGCAGAACCAGGCTCAGGACAAATGACCATCTGCTTCGACAGGCTGGGTTTGAGAGAACAGGAAGGAGAATTTGTGTGTATATCTTTGAGTGCAGAATGTAGATTTTCACTCTCATACCAATAATAGTGGGTTGTGTTTTAGAGAGGTGTGTGTCTTTTGAAAATATACACAAATCTTCAGTGAGGCACAGGTGGACCGCTGACAAGTTACACAAGCATCTTAAGGTCCACTGATTGAAGTGGAATGTGCAAGTGCACAGACTAGAGTGCCATACAAACAATATGAATAATTGTGAAATTCTGCAGTATTTTTATTTATTTATTTGTAATTTGCCAAACTAATTTATTAACTCGTTTTTGCTTTGACATTGTGAAGTGTAAATTTATGCTGGGAAAATGAGCATCTACTTTGAGATGGATTTGTATTGTAACAAAATGTGGCAACCTACAAAGGGCTTGAATAATTGTCATTAGCTCTGCCTAAAGATACAGAATAAATTCACAAACTATTGACGGACTCACACAAAGGCCGTTGATATGAATTATTACTCAATCCCGAGCATTAGCAGGCTGATTAGACTTATGGTTGTGGTTTTTACTTGTCACAATGATTTAACCTGTCCTCTTACCCGGGCAGAGCACAGACAAATGATAATGTCTTCAGGGATGTTGAAGTCATTGAACAAATGGTGCCTCCTCAAGCCCGGCCCACAGTGGGCTATTTGATCCAGTGCCTTTTAAAATGTCAGCAGTGATTTGCCTTTTCTGTTGTGCTGGGCAGCAAGATGGCCAGCGAGACACAGGAGACTGATATACCGCTGTGGCACAAAGAACTACGGGGTGGAGATGAACTCTGTGACTGGGAGGAAGCAGAGATGTAGAGAAAAGGAGAAAAAGGTGAGGGAGGAGCAGGTGACAAAGCAGAGGGCTGACACCAAAATGACAGTAGAAGTGAAATGTGGGAGTGAGAGAAAAGAGAGGGATAAAAGAGTACGGCTGATAGAGAGGAGCGGGGTATAAGAGGGGGCGACGTTCTCACAGACTTTCTGTTGATTCGTCAGCAGAAGTCATACACTGTGAGATTTTGCGCCGCATCCACCGCTAATGTGTGTAAGCGTGTGTGTAAGTGTGTGTGCATGGGGTGGGGGCATCAGTGTCGGTAGTGAGAAGTCAGAGGTGATTGATGGTTTACAGAAGAACGCTGATGAGTGATTCATCTCTGCCAGCCACGGCAATCTCCGTGGCAACACGAGTGACCTGTAATCTGTCACCCAGCTCAAAGGCCGCCTCTCGACGGCTCCGCAGGATAAGAGACATTCAGTCCCCTCTCAGCTTCTCTTCCTGAAGCATCTCCCTGCGTCTCACTGAACTGTGAAGCTGTGCTCCGAGTGCGTCTGCCTGTCTGTGTGCAGGCCTGCATGTCTGCCCGTGTGCATTTCTACCAACTGTCTGCCTCTCCCTTCATCCCGTCCATCAGTTTTAAAATCCCTACCACTTCTTCAAATGTGAACTGACAGAATGTGGCAAGAAACAGAAGCCTGTCCTCTCGGGTTTTCAAGCACCCACAATTAATCTAAATTGAAATATAATTTCATGAAAGTTGCAGCGCACATTGAGTCCTCATGCACTGTTTGTTGGAAATGATGGCTTCATCTTCCTTTATAACATTTATTTACATCTCACTTGCCCACGATTTGACAAAACACGCAACACACACTATCTGGCAAACTGCCTGCATTTCTATCAGTCTTTTAGCGTAGCAGGAGAATTTATCTGACTGCCAGCAGGCTGCTCGGTATATCTGCATATCTGACAGGCTGTTCTCTGTCTGCTTGCCACGTGTGTTTTGGGTATTCTCTACTGACTTGCCCTGCATCCATGTTCCAGTGTGATTTTCCTCAGAGTTTTATGTTTGTCTGCTTTCATCTCCACCTCCCTGCCTACCTGTTTGTTTGGCTCTGTGTCCGCCCACCCACCGAGACAGACACCTGACAATGCAACAAGAGCGCGCAACAGAAGGCTCCAAACGGTATTCTAAGAAGGTCACTGAGAAATGGCTGACAGGTCAAGAAGCTCACTCATCCAGAGAAATAAATTCAGCCTAGCTACAGTGACAGTTGCGGTCCTTCCCACTCAATCAGCGTTGCCAGGAAGGCAGACGGTAACACAGTGGATTGCATCCATGCTTCACATTACTGCATACCTTCAGAGAAAGCAAGCACAAAGCAAACAAATAAATCCCCAGGGGTGTGTGTGAATGCTCCACTTCAGTACAGTATGTGTCTGTGATTAGGAGAGTAGGGGATAACAGATTGTTTTGATTCCAGATGGCTGTGCTTTAACACGACTAACAAACATATTGAGTTTGTCTTAGTGGATGTGGTTTTACTACATCAGTTTTGACGTAAGTCAGCTACGATTTATAACCAGACTGCCAGCATAAAATACTTCTGCCTTGAACAGCCTGAAGGAAGGCGCGTCTGGGATGTGTGATGTAACGACCCATCTATCTGTGATGCAACTACCTTGTCTGCTCAGCTTTGACATAATGAGATGTGATCAGACGATGGATTGAGGATAAAACACTGGTGCATTATTTAACCTTTTCTTTTTGGTGACTTGCATTGATCTTCGCAGCTGAATTGTGGCCATGATGAGGCTCAAACTAATGCATGAGTCACCAACAAAAATAGAAACATAATTTTAAAAAAGAACATCTTTTTTTCTTACGTATGCTTGTGAATCTCAAATATATTCCTTCAGATAGTTTAAAACATTATTGACAAAACATCAAAGTTTGTGCTCAATAATCCGGGTAAAAAAATCCAACAATGTTCAGTCAGTTCATCTGGATGGTTTATTTTTTTTGTTGAGACATTTTGTCCTTCATCCAAAGGATTTTTTCAGTCCAAGGAGCCACAACAAACTTAGTTCCACAAGCAGCACACTCACAAAGTGGGCCAACCAGTTTGCTGTGAAAAGATGGATTCAGGGGCCCGCCCTTATCACCAGCAAACTGGTTGGCCCACTTTGTGAGTGTGCTGCTTGTGGGACTGAGTTTATTATGGCTCCTCGGACTGAATAAGTCCTTTGGATGAAGGATGAAACATTTCAACAAAAACAGAAACTGTCCAGATGATGTCTGAAATTTATTAGATTTTTTTTCCTGGATTATTGAGCATGAACTTTGATGTTTTGAACCACTTTGGCTATGGCTGCCTCAGAGGAGTCAATGGGGGAGAGAGCATGCCCCAGAAACAATCTTATCACCATCAAACTGGTTGACACATTATACCATACCATACCATTTTATTTATAGAGCACTTAAAACAGCGACAAGGCCAACCAAAGTGCTGTACAGACAGAACAACAGGTAACACACAAAGCAATATACAAAATGAAGTAAATCAGAATATAGACAAAAACGATGCAGATAATGACGACAAACCAGTGTAGAGCATACAGGTTCAAAACACAGATCATCTGGTGTTGAAAGCCACCGAATAGTGAGTTTTTCAACGGGACTTGAAAACCGAGAGGGAGGGGGCCTGTCTGACAAGCAGAGGTATCTCGTTCCAAAGTCTTGGTCCTGCTACAGAGAAGGCCCTGTCACCTCCGCACTTAAGACGAGTTCCTGCAACTGTGAGGAGCAACTGGTCCGCTGACCTCAGGGAACGTGGTGGGACATACGGTTGTAGCAGATCAGAGAGATGGGGGGCGGCGAAACTGTTCAGTGTTTTGTAGACATACATGAGTATTTTGAACTGGATTTGAAGGTGAACTGGTAACCAGTGCAGTGAGGCCAAAACTGGAGTAATGTGCTCTCTTTTGCCTGTACTGGTTAAAAATCGGGCTGCTGCATTCTGGACAAGTTGTAGTCGTGCTATAGAGGTCTGACTGATATCAAACAGGAGCGAATTGCAGTAATCAAGCCTAGATGTAATGAATGCATGTATTACTGTCTCCAGGTTCTTTTTGGACAATATGGGCTTCAGTTTAGACAGCCGCCTCAGTTGGAAGAAACATGATTTAACTTATTATGTGAATGTGCTGCCTGTGAGACTAAGTTTGTTGTGGCTCCTCAGACTGATGAAGTCATTTGGATGAAGGACAAAATGTCTCAACAAAAAAGAAATTGTCCAGATGACCTGACTGAACTTTGTTGGATTATTCACATAATTTTTTTTTTCTTCAACAAGAACAGAGCAAACTCTTTTCACTTTATAAACATACTTTTTATTTACAAAAATGCAAAGTAAAAAAAAAAAAAAATATATATATATATATATTCTAAAACCCTACACTAAGCCAACAGATTTTTTTTTCAAATTGGAAACTTTAAAAATGAAACATAAATAAGTAAATAAACTTAAAACTGCCTTTTATAGCTACTCCAAGACAAAATGAGAGCAATTTATTTTATTTTATTTTATTTTATTTGGTCAACTAAAAGTTTCTTTGCTTTTAACAAGCCCATATGTTCTTATTTTTTGCAGCAGAATTTTGTACCCATGTGTGAAAGGATGCTTTAAGGTGCTCACACTGACAATAAATAAATAAATAAAACCTGTCAGTAAGAGTCATAACTTTTCTGAAAACAACAGTTAAGACAAAGTTCTGGTGAATTTTCAGCTGGAGGTAGAAAAGATGTTGGGTTTAACCTCCCCATGGTAACCTGAACTCTCCACTGATGAGCATTTTGATAAACAGCAGCTTATCTAATCTCTGCCTAATCTACACATACTTTAATAAATTGAGTTTAAACCTTTTAGGAACAAGCGATTGACAAGGCGCGGTCAGTTCCAGCAATCCTACTGCAGTTTCTCAAGAAATTACCTAATTAAGTTGTAAGCGCCTTTTACATTTGTAAGATGTGAATCCAAAACATGCAGTCTGATGACATCTAATTATGAATGAAGGAGGCTATACTTAGAAAAAATCTGTCAGAAACATATTCAATGTCTTTTGTCAGAAAAGAAGCTCCATATTCAGTTGACTAGTTTTTTAAACAGCAGTAATAAATAGCAAATTTTAAACCAGTATGCAATCATATCAAGCAGGTACAATTAAAATCCATGGTCATACAGTCCAAATCAACACAATTTTTTCAGCGTTAAAGAGTATATTTGATAAAACTAAGTTTAGTCAATTTTACTCTAAAGAGCAAACATGAAAGGCATTGCCACAAGATACACATTACCATCTGGACTACAGAAAATATAATGTATATCTTATTAAACTTTGCCAAAGGTATCATAAATATTTTGGGAATGCGCACAATAATCTGAAAGCAATGCACAAGATGAATAAGAAAGAATAAGGAAGGCAGAAGTCTTGGGAAAGCTTGAAATTTGACACACACAAGAAACCTTTTGTAAAACAAATAAAGGAATTGCAATGGCATGGCCATGCTTGGCTCCCAGTCACATTAGCGATTATTGTCAGCGTGACAAGAAACAAATGAGCAGAATGTTCAGAATTAATTCCTAAGTGTACAGGAATACCATGTCAGCATGAACTGAGCCTTAAGCAGCTCACTTAAATGGACAATGCTTCACAGAACAGATGGACAATGAACCTAAATTATGCTGTGAGCGACGCCCAGGAGTTTTAGAATGTACCAAAAGGTAAAATATTCTGCTGTTGCTGAACAAATCATCCAATCAAAATGGATTTTATTTCCTGACAAATATAAAAAAGAAATAAATAAACTAAATAGAAGACAGACGCCAAATAAAGGCAAACATTGCTCTATTTCTCTCACTCATTTACATTATTCGATGAATTCCGTTCAGGGTGAGCTGGAGCTTCAGCAAGGAATGGCCGAGAGGCAAGGTGCACCCTGAACAAGTCACCAGTCCATCGTAAGGCTGACTCAGAGACACTGAACCATGCACGCTCACACCTGAGGTCCATTTAGCATCACTGGAAAACCTAACGAACATGTTTTTCAACTGTGGGATGAAACTAAGGTGCCCATTCAAACTTCACAGAAAGCTTCCAGTGGAATTTGAACCTGTGACCTTCTTATGGTGAGACACCAGTATTATAACTGTACCACTGTGCAGCCCAGTAAAAGAGAACAAATGAGGAAATTCATTCTTTCCAAAGGTCCATTGGAAGCAGACTTCAGTGGTTCCCAACCCATGTCCTTGAGGAACACCATCCTGCATGTTTTAGTTGTTTTCTTGCTCCAGCACACATGATTCAGTGATTTAAATACTCCCTCATGTTCTGCAGAAGCCTGTTATTAACCATTCATTTAAATCAGATATGTCAAAGTAGGGAAACAACTAAAACATGCAGGACGGTGTTCTTCACGGACCAGGGTTGAGACCCATTGGACTAAGGTACTCTTTGCCTGGAAAATATTTTTTTTACAAAGTATTTAAAAGTACTCTCTTAAAAGTACTCTTGAGCATGCATCAGGATATTTAAAAGTACAATAACACTTATTTGACCCTAAAAAAATTAACTCTTTAAACAAGATACTTTGACATGAATTCCCTCAAGGTATAGCTTCTCTGTTAAAAACTTAATATTTCTCTAACATCATAACAAAGTGTCAGAGACCAAATAATATTTAGTCTTCTTCAAAAAATTCAAACATTTAAGAGAATAAAACACAGAACTGTGCCCATGCCTGTTCGAACATGTGCGTGTGTGTGTTTGTTTCTGTGTTCTCTGTGTCTGTTGTGTTAGCAAAATATCCTAATCATTAGGGGTGCATCTACAGCCCATTAAATTTTAGAGTTATGCCAATTTAAGATGGTTACTGTAGTTAAACAATATTAGCAAACAAAAAAATGTCAACACCTCAGTGAATTTAATAAATACGGAGCTAAAATTAAACATGGTAGTAGCTGAGAGTCATCCACAGCGCATACTCTGAGTGATAACAGATCTTACAATAACACATGGAAATGTGCATAACGTCATTTACAAGGTTTGACCAAAATGGCTGTAACTTCTTCCATTTTTATCACAATATATTAGTTTAAAATGAAATACTTTGAACAGCATCCATTCATTCAAGGAAGTCTAGAAGAGATGCAGTAACTCACACAGGCTGGGAGAATTCAGGGGCTTCGTCGTTGATGTTTGCCATCCTCACTCGCACCGTGGCGGTACCAGAATGAGGCTCATCCCCACCGTCCACCGCCATCACCACAAACTCATACAAATGGTTTGGCCTCTCATAATCAAGCCTCCTCGCAGGGAAAATGGTCCCGTGGGGTGAGATGCTGAAATCTGGGCTTAGGGTGTAATAAGTGAGCTCTGCATTTAACCCTGAGTCGCAGTCCGTGGCTAAAACTGTTGAGAAGAAAGAAACGACACAAAGCACCATCAATTACCAGTTAATCGAAAAGAACTGATGAGTTGACACCAGCTGATGAATATGTTGACATCTGTGTAGATCATTATCTCTTCATGGCCTTGCTAAACATGCAATAAATCATAAGTTCAGACAGCTACAATTATTAGAACACAAAATGTTCCCTGCTAGAATGATTACCATCATTTGCAAAAACGGGCTTAAAGACGAGAAAAAGAATAAATTAAATGATCAGAGCTTGTGCATATTCCTGGTTGGAAGTGATTATATTCTAAGGTAATTACACAAAAATAACTATAAATCTGTTTTTTTGAAGTGCAATGAGATTTTCTTCGAGACTACAGCCCCATCCACTGTGAATTTCACTTAAACTCGCTGTTTCTCCTTCATCCCCTCCAGCTCAGAACACCCGAACACATCAAATTACTTTGATGTGTTTATTTGCTGCACGACAGGCATCTTCTGCATGTCAATGCCTCGTTCCTTTTTCATCTCAGCACCTTGTAAAACAGATCATATCTGGTAATTTATGATAGAATATTTAACTTGTATAACTTGTCAGACTTGTTAAATGTTAAATGAACTGAAATAACACATTTCCTTTAAACTCCGCTGTGATAAGTTCACCGTTTGAGTTTTTTTGTCAACCTCAGTTGGTTTTTGCCCCGTGGAGACATGCTAATAATTTAATGGGAATTTTATTCTCTCAGTGGCGAAGAAAATCTTTGATATATTTTAGTCATACGAGCAGTCAACCAAATCAGCAGACTATACCGCTAGTCCTGTTTTATTTTATTTCTTCGCACTCCATCTGAGTAAATTTGTAGAATAAATTTTTAACTATTAAGCTTTTAGTGTTAGAAGAGTCCATGTTTCTTTTTGCTTTTTTTTTTCTTTAATTTGGACTTTTTACTCTTTTACTGAAATACAAGTTTGGCATTTTGCTGCTAAAAAATTGTTGAATTTCTCTGAATCAAGTTATTCCAGAAACATTTAGACAAGTGGAAATTATTAGATCTCAAAAGGTGCAAGAATATTTCAAAAGAGTTAAGCACTGAAATGGGGACAAAAAATACTTGAAAAAGGTGTTATATCATTGTTGTGTGTCAATTTTCTGATGCCATTTTGCCCAAAGTTCCTCCTAATTTGTGAGACAAAAACCGTTATCTTTCTCTGATGCTACAGCTGCGTTCTGCAAAGTACAACATCTTAAAACACTTGAATCCCATGAGTGCAATCAGAAGTGCTATTTCTGTCAGGAAGTGAGGTGCCAGTGACAAAGTGTTAAAATATCTCACACATATAAAATAAACGTCTGTACTTCATTTTACAAAAAAAACAGATTAGTGTTTTTAGATTAGTGTGTTGGTGCTTGCGCCTCTGTAAGCACAATATCCATCTTAATTGGTGTATTTTTACAAGTTAAGCTGCAAGAAGATGAGCTTCACATTTGGAAATCATGAGGTATTCTTGTTAAATTATAGCAGGGTATGGCATTAGTTATATATATCTATATGTATATATCTATATACAAAGTATATATCTATATATATCTATATATCTATATATCTATCTATCTATAGATAGATAGATAGGTAGATAGATAGATAGATAGATAGATAGATAGATAGATAGATAGATAGATAGATAGATAGATAGATAGATAGATAGATAGATAGATAGATAGATAGATAGATAGATAGATAGATAGATAGATAGATAGATAGATAGATAGATAGATAGATAGATAGATAGATAGATAGATAGATAGATAGATAGATAGATAGATAGATAGATAGATA